GTTGTATGGCACTGTGTGGTGTGGTGCGGTGTGGTGTTGTGTTGTCTGTCCCTCACGCACTCATGAAGACTCTCCCTCTCCCACAGTGCGCCTCTACGGACCCGACTTCATCCTGCAGGTGTTCTCTGCCCATAGGAAGTCCTGGCACCCCGTGTGTTGGGACGACTGGAGTGAGAGCTACGGACGGGCAGCCTGCAGAGACATGGGCTACAAGTGAGTGTGACGCTCAGCGGCCAAGAACCAAGACTGGGCAGTGTCCGCACAGTACCGATGGCCGGCAATAGGAGCATAATAAAAATCCAGATTCTCTCCGCTCCTCTGTGGAAGTGCTGGCACACAAATACCGAGGCAGTTGTCTCCTTCCCAAAACAGATCCCTGCAACGAGCAGGCAGAACCTATCCTGTTGAGAGCTGTGTCCTGCAGGTTCACCAGTGCTGGCTCCCCCACGTCCCCCTGCACCCTGTCCTCTTCTGGGTACATGTGGCATCCGGCGTATTACATGTGCATTGTATAGTACATATTATATAAATATATAACATACACATACATGTACATTAGTATCATATATGTATCTTATGCAGGCATATCATATATATGTATCATAAGTGTATCATATATGTATCCTGTGTACATACATATATATATATGTATCATATATCATATATATATATGATTCAAACTTGTACTTTTGTTTTCTAAAATATTAAGGTTTTCTTCCTCTGAACATTATACAAAAAGCATATTATGATGTAGTATAGGATTTGTGATTGCTTCAGACTTCACCACTATTTTGAATGACATCTTCTGTCTTGAATACTTATTTTTCAGACAAAGTTTCTACTCCAGCCAAGGCGTGGTGGACAACAGCACTGCCACCAGCTTTATGAAGCTGAACACCAGCGCCGGGAACATCGACCTCTACAAGAGGCTGTTCCATAGGTATTGGTGATTTCCTTATTCTCGCAAACATTGTGCAGTGAGAGCGAGTAGCAGATGCCCTGGAGAGCAGTGTCCCGAGTTGGAGTTCTCTGAGCGGCGATTCCGGGTTTGGATAATTTTCTTGTTGGGAAGACGTTAGACTCTAAGCGGGACTGGTTGCTCTGAGCACCCTGCATGTATTCTCAGGAAGTAGCTATGGTTATTTTCCATTTAGTCTGCGACCTCTGCCTTCTGCTATCCTTGATGACATTGGATCACGTTGCAACACTGAGATTCAGCTTTATGTATTTTTCCCCAAACATTTATGAGCATACCTGCTCTGTCAGGTGTGACACTAGGAATTCCAGAGAGTAACCTGGGGTCCCATTTAGGGTGACCAATGCATGCCACTATGCCCTGGACTTGTTTGGTTTTAGCACTGACAGTCCTGATTCCCAGGGACCGCCCCCCCAGCTCCAACCCACTGGAAGGGTTGGTCCCCCAGCCCCAACCCATGAACCGCCACATCAGGTGGTGGAACGTTCCAGGCGCCTGGGCAGGAGAGGCCAGTCCAGTTCAGCTGAAACATTCCCTGTACCCTCACAGTTGTGGGGAGGTTCTGTAGATGCCACCCCTCTGTCTTGAAGGTGTGTCCCATGTGGTCACACCAGAAACACTGTCACCAGAGAGACGGACTGGCCATAGACAGTGGGCTGCAGTCTCCTGAAGGCTGACTCAGGCCACGCAGGTGACTGATGGGCACCTGCAGGTCCCAGCCTCTGCGTCTGCCACACCGGAGCAGACTCACTCCCCTGGGCATGTCACTGGGTGTCCAGGGATGGGAATGAATGCAAACCATAGGTCCCATACTTGGTGGCTTAATTCTGGGGACAGTGGAGGAAGATGGTGGACTCGAGCTACTAATCTGGTCTTGCATATGTTTAAAATAGTGGCATTCTTCCTAGAATTATTATTTTTCAGAGCAGCTTTAGGCTTACAGAAATATTATGCAGAAAGTACAGAGAGTTTGCATATATCCCCTCTGCCCTCTGCACAGTTTATCCTGTTGCTAACATCTTGCATTCCTGGGTACATTTGTTATAATGGATGAACCAATATTGATACACTGTTAGTAACTAAAGTCCATAGCTTGCTCAAGGTTCACTTCTGGTGTTGTACAGTCCTATTGGTTTTGACAAACACGTAAGGTCGTGTGTCCACCATTACACTATCGTGCACGATAGATTTCACTGCCCTCAAAAGGGCACCCTCAGGCCACCCAGAATTTTTTTAATGCAAAAGATACATGTTGTCCTTTCTTACACACGTTGTCCTTGCTCACCCCAGGTCTGGGTGGCTCATCCCCAGGTGACTGGCCATCCCCACGCTGCCAGCAGGTGCCAGGTGCTGAATTTTGGGGGAAGATGAACTAACCACACGCCCCTCTTTTCTATGAGTGAGAGGGGGAAGGAGGGTACTTTCCATGGTGGCGTCTGGGAGGCTGGGTCCTTCCAGGCCTGGCTGACCCTGGGAATGTCACAGGGCAATCCCAGGAGGGAGGGGCGCACACAGCCAGGTGCACCCATCGAAACTGCAGGGTTGCGGTTTGCCGGCCGAGAAGCAAAACACAGCTGCCGGCACTGTTTGTAAATATTGAACGTTGCTTTGTCTTCCTTAGTTACACAGGAAAGCTCAGAGCCAAGAAGAATGGAGTTGATGGGGGGAGGGGTGGAGAAGGTCTGCCATCCTGTGGCATGGAGCTTGGGAACTCACAAGGTGGCTGACGGTGTGGAGGGAGGAAGAGAAGGTCATTGGGTGCCACGCCCGAGTCCGAATATGGGGTAGGGGCATGGGAACATGCCTTCTCCCTCTTTTCTTTCAGAAATTACCCTTTGACGGTTGAGTCTGTGGGCTGGACTGCTAGTCAGCCTCATCTGAAATCACTGCTGTGATGCTGGGGGTTAGGTGCTCAGGTGAATTTCTAGGTAGAGGACAGTTGGCCTCACAATTCTTAGGAAATGAACATCCCTTTTCTTGGCACTGTTACTGCCCTCCAGCCACAGACTACCAAGGACACTCCCAAGGCTGAACAAAGTTGGGTTTATGGACTCTTGGCAGCAAGGCACCACACACCACAGGAGCATCTTAATAGGGTGTTAGGACTGATTTGGAGCCCTGGTGGCACAGCGGTTAAGAGCTCAACAGCTAACCAAAAGGTCAGCAGTTGGAATCCACCAGCCGCTCCTTGGAAACCCTATGGGGCAGTTCTACTCTGTCCTATAGGGTGGCTATGAGTCGGAATCGACCCGACAGCAACGGGTTTGGTCTGGGTTTTAGGACTCTTTATGGGATTGCGACTTGTGATAGGTGATTTGGGGGAGGTTCAAGAAAATAGGGATTACTGTGGATCGGATGCTGTTGGGAAGTGAGGGTACACTCTACAATTGGGTAACTTAATTTTTATCTAGAAGGTGGGAGGAGGAAAGTAAAGCTGGAATTGGTAAGGTGCAGCAGTTACCGCGCTTGGCCAGCAGAGGGGGCTGTGTGGTCACGTCTGTGGTTTGGACAAAGCTCACGTTTTATCTGTGTTCAGACCGGACAACAGAGTGGGCTTGTTTTTTGTCTTGGTTGTCTGGTCACAGAGTCGCGTTGTTTGACGTTGGTGTTCTGTGAACTTGGCCATGTTCAGTGCCAAGGCCTGGCTGTCAGAACTGTCAGGGGCTCTCTTACTCCTTCTTAGGACATTAGGGGGAAATGTTCCATATGGGAGAATTTATTATTTCCTTTTCATCCATAACTTCTGATATTTAACTCCCAAACAAGAAAGTCATATCCTTGTGTGTATGGGCAAATTATTGGTTGTATTTTTTTTTTGTCTGTTATTATTGTGATAAAAATAAATATGTTATTTCAATTTTTTTTACATGTACAATTCAGTGACATTAATTACATCCATCATTTGTATAACCATCACTACTATACATTTCAAAGTAATCTACCACCATTAACAGAAACTCAGTGCCCCCTAAGCAATGACTCCCCTCCTCCCCCTCCCATCCCCCCCTGGTAAAAACCTAAAAAACCTGTGGCCGTCAAGTCGATTCTGACTCATAGTGACCCTATAGAACACAGTAGAACTGCCTCATAGGGTTTCCAAGGAGCGAGCTCCTGGTGGATTTGAACTGCTGACCTTTTGGTTAGCAGCTGTAGCTCTTAACCACTATGCCACCAGGGTTTCTATATGTTTGCCTCTTCAGGGTATTTTATATTTAAGTGAGATCATACAGTATTTGTCTTTTTGTGACTGACTTATTTTCGCTGAACATGTTTCTAAGGTTCACACATGTTGGTTATATGGTTTTTAATCTTATAAATACATATAGGCTGTCTTGGGAACCCAGAAGTTTCCAAATGGCTTCCTTAGAAAATTAGAGGGTGATTTTAAACTCCAAGAATACCAATAATAGCTAACAATAGTGGGTGCTTACTCTCATAACCACTCTATGAGTTGGTACTCTTATTAGCCCGTTTTACAGATAGATAAACTGAGGCACAGAGAGATTAAATAACTTGCCTAAGGCCACACAGATGGGATTTGAACCTGGTGGTTTGTCTCAGTTTTTGATCTTTACCGCTGTACTCTATGAATGTACTTAACCTTATTTGATTCTTGGATAGTGGGGGCTTCTATTTCTGGAGAGACAGGGAGTGGGACCCTTGAAAGAAGATGTTCCTCTCTATTTGAAGAGTGACATGCTTCCTCATTTATTATAGTGACCAAAATCCCCCCTCTCTTTTCCAGTGATTCTTGTTCTTTGAAAAGAGTGGTGTCTTTACGCTGTATAGGTAAGTGCTTCTGGATTTTCCTTTTCTACATAGGAAACATTCGGTACCTTTAAAGAAATCTTTCCCAGTGTCTTTGGAGATGCAGGGAGAGAAGGAGAACGTGCAGGAGGAGGTGGGTTCATGGGCAGGGTGGGCCCACAGGCCTCTTTCTCTGGCCACGCTCAAGCTCAGCCCAAGGAGCTCCTCTTCGAATCTTGATGTGCTTTGGATGCCTTCAGCCTTGGGTCCCAGAAGCATCCCCTGAGGGCAGGCAATCCCCAGAAACTGACAAGACCTGACTCTGTGTGCTGCCCCCAGGTAGAGCTGAGAAGGAAGGGCAGCGTTTGGGGAACCTGGTAGATGCAGTGTGTGGGCTTGTAGCATTTGCAAAAACATTCCCGTAGGGCGGAGGCCCAGCGCAACCATATGACAGCCTGGCACTCACCAGCCTCTGGGATTAGGAGGACAGACACGAACGGGGAAACCAACCATTCTCTTATTCCTTCTCTCGGGAACTTTTGACAGTGGCTGGGATTTGCGTATCCCCATCTCTGTGCTTGGATTACTGTGGTTTCCAATCCTTTCACGGAGCCCTGGTGGCGCAGTGGTTAAGAGCTCGCCTACTAACCAAAAGATCGGCAGTTCAAATCCACCAGCCGCTCCTTGGAAACCCTAGGGGGCAATTCTACTCTGTCCTACAGGGTTGCTGAGTCGGAATTGACTCGACAGCAACAGGTTTGGTTTGGTTTTGGGTTAATCCTTTCATAAATATGGAGGGCACTATCCTTTCCCCTCTCTGCTGGCCCAGCCCTGTTTCTCTCCTGCTACGACCTTGATCCAGAAGCTCAGCCCTCCAGTCTGATGTCGTAAACCAACAGCTTCTCCCATTTGGGTGACATGGTCCCCGGAGCTGGTCTTGCAGCCATAATGTCACAGTCAGGTTCAGCTCAGGTTGCCTTTAAGTACCAAGCAGGTGCCCAGCACAATTGCCAAAAGAGGGTGGTCGTGCTGCCCCCAGTGCCCGCGCCGCCCACCTTACTGGTGAAATGAGACGTGGCTCAGGAAAGCGGTCAGGTGGCAGTGGTGACAGACTCACCGAGGGAAGTCTCTGGAGGGCCGCCCTGCCTGCTTCCCC